AAAATCAAAACTCAAACAGTTCATACCTGACAGCGAAGCCGATTGGAAACGACGAAGGCGATTGTGAAGCGATTGAGGTGGGAAGGATTCGGCGATGGACGACTCTTAAAGGGGACATCTTGGGGAGTGAAGYGTCGTCTCGGGAGCTGATAAGGGAGGAGTGTTCTTGGGGGAGGAGAGCCTTGTAAATCRAAGAGACATATTGGGSGAAGGGAAGGGAGGCGTGTAAAGGAGGATTAAGGGTATTTTCGGTATTTCAAAAGTTAAGACTTTAAGACTTTGATCAAATTTGTTTAATAAGGTAGTATAGATATATATATAGATATATATATATATATAGATATATATATATATATATATAGATATATATATATATATATCTATATATATATATATATCTATATATATATATATCTATATATATATATATAGATTAGGCTTCGCCCCTCGGCTTCTAAAGCCAGTGTTCCGCCACTGTGGGAACAGGTTACAATCACCACTCCAAGTCTCTGCTTCTTCGATCAAACTCTTTCCTGCTATTACGAACTCAAAAACCATAGCTCATATGGCTATTTATACCTTTCAAGCTCATAAATGGATGATAGTTCAATAAGTCGCTAAAGTTTTGTAATGTTTGCACTTAAGCTTTTACATTGTGCCTTTTTTTGACAACCAAATTCAACTACTGGCCGATAGGGAACACGCTCTCGTACCATTCATTAGAGGAGATGGCAACAGCGTTTAAATGGAGAAGAAGACGTGGTGGTGGCGCACAATCGCTCGATCGGAGACTTAGAGGATTCTTGTCCAGAAAGTTTGTCTTTCGATTCGTTCTTATAATCCTCGCATTCATCGCCATCCTCCCTCCTGTTTATTTCCACTTCAAACTCCGACGTTTTCATCAGGTATCAGTTTCTTTTTGCATTTTACAGAACTACTCTTGAAGCTGATAATACTCTCTTTCGAAAATGCTTTCCTGATCCTTTATATCATTTTGCGTGTGAAAAGAGTAGTTTTACGACTCAAATGTGGTCCATATATTAACTCTTTTGAGTGGAATTTGCTATCTTGGTGACTTCATAGCTGCCACTGCTATGTTTGTAGCAAACTTCACAACGAATTTGCATCTGGCAGTGCTATATTTGAAATCAAAATAGGAAGAGAACAGATTGCAGCTTCTTTTTTTGGAATGAAAGGACTTATTTTTTAAGGCTCTTATGAATTAGCTGTATGCTTTATTCCCCTTTCTAATGTTGAGGTTTACATGGAGATACCATAGGACTGTCATATCTGTCAATGGTGCCGTTATGCCCAATACCCCTTGATGAACCTTTGTTAGTGATTCACTAATTCAATGAACAATCTTAGCTATGTGACTTCAGTGAATGCTACTCACTATTGGATGGCTTTCACTTTCATCTCGTCCATCATAGTTTTTATATCCTTGATTTGGTGACCCCTCTTGGGCAGATGAGCACTTTTCTTGCATCTCGTGAATGCTTTAGACTTTTCTATGCAAGTCTCGCTCATCTTGTTGAGGGCATTCTTCACCTGCGGACTCCTCCCCTCCAAGTGTTGATGGACATCCTCGAGTTGTGCCTTCAACTCCGTCATTGAAGTCTACTTCAGCGAACCTTTTGTCAAGACTTGCTATCGTGCTCTTGGACTTGCCATGATGCTTGTTTCCTCTTGACGAGACTCATCTCGTCCTAGGTTCTCTTCCTTCACAACCACTCCCATGTAGCCTTGTTGGAGTTGCTTGCCATTGCCGTATGTCGAACCTTGTAACCAACCCTGTTTTTGAATGAACACGACTCTCATACCAAATGGGTCGGACTTGTCTCCACAAGTTCCCCTGTAGCACTTAGTACTCACACTAAGTCAACCTTTCATAGATTAGAAGACTCAAACAAGGTATTAAGGAAAGCAAAGGAACCTGGAACAAGAGGTGGGAAAACTTAGATTTTTAGGAAAATGCTTACAGGAGGAGATTGCTTACAATTCTTGGATATTCCTTATATAGACCTCCACCTCCTCGATGGATGGGCAAGTTCGATCGAAATCTATGGCTTGGCTCTAATATCTAGAGAATCAAGTAAATATCTAGATATTTATGTAGAAGCATTTTACACACTAAGGGGCCTACATTTATGCAGAGGCTTCTAGAGTTGTCCCATTACCGTGAAGTCTCTTCAGTAGTGTAGTCCTTGGGACGACTTAAACTTGGTAGGTCGTTACGATATACTCTCTTCGAGAAAAAAAAGCAAATGGAATCTCAAACTACAGAGTGAAAATGATAAGCTGGAAGTAATCTTGTAATTCTGTAAAGCTAGGGCTTAATTTGTGTCCTGCTTTTAGGTATTGTATTACAAGCTAGAAAAGTAAGTATTGGACTTTCCACCAGTTTTACAATCAGGAAATTTAATAGATCTTCATTCGACTCTTAAAATACTTACCTCGAGCATTATGTAGGTTATACAGATATGGGCTGGCTTCAAAGAATCACATTTTGGTGACTAGTATTTCATGGATATACTTATAAAGTTTTGGTGGGTGCTCATACACCAAGCAGTAATTTGCTAGTATCTCATGTTTACGTCATCTGCTATTTCTAGAATGGCAAGTACGTTTTTTTTGGCAGAGTTATATAACAAAGATGTTGTGAATTATCATTGATCCATGGTTGTTTGCCTGTGTCATTGCAGGTGAAGTTAAAAAAGTGCAGTTGGTTAAATAATCCTCCTCTTGTTTGTGCTCATGGTGGTGATGCTTCCAAGGCCTTCCCTAATACGGTATGTATCTCACGTTTCTGCATCACTAAATGCAAGCTTATTTCGACAGTATAAATATGTGGTGATCTCCATACCACTAAACTACTTCTGAATGTGTATGTATGTACACCTGTAATATACTTGGACTGCAACTACAGTAACTTCATATTCTATTTAAGGCACGATTCCGGAAAGAGAATGGTGTACATACGGCAACTCTTTGGTGTACATCTTGTAGGGAGGTTGGCATTTATGGCCACAATGTTGTGGTATTAAAATATCCTTATAATCCACTTATGAACAAATGGTCCTATCATCCTTTTGACAGTCATGATATTAATAATTACTTGATTGAATCCATCTAAGCAACCTGTGAACTTGTTTATCACTGGTTGGATTGACTGTAATCAGTGACTGGCATTTTTGACCTGCTCCATTAAGCCAAGAAAACTATATTAAAATAACTCTGCAAGTGATTACCTTGTTTTCACTTTTCATGGGCAATGCGAGAACACATGTTTGGTGGTATTTGGGCCAAACAGCCTACCATGTATGGTGGTCCCACAAATGAGTTCAAACTCAAAGGTCAGAAGAAGACAGTTCACTTATCACCTGGTTGGGAATTGCCTAGTTACAATTACTTTATGTCGTTAGATTAACATCATAGAACAATTACTGTATGCCACTATCATAATATTTTATTGTAGTATCTTTCCATGTTTAAGTTGTCTTGGTGCTTTTTCATTTCTTTTTCACTTAACAGATGGCTGCTTATGATATTGCTATTCGTTCTCAAGTAGACTGCATTGAGATTGATGTTTCTCGTTCTGCAGACGGGATTTTGTTTGCTCTTCATGACAGGTAAATGTGCGAATCCTTTGTTGTATTGTTTGTAAGACGGAAAATGATTATATTATTAATGTGAAAATAAGGACCAAAAACAGAAGGTTGGGGTGGAGGCAATTGATCTTAACAAGAATAAAGGAAAAATACATAACAGGGTCTTATATGCAAGCCCAACATCTTCAATGAGTCTTGAAATTTTATTCTTTGATAAGATAGATTAGCACAAAGATACTGACCTCCAAGATTAGACACTACGCATTTCTCTGGAACTAAATACTATGCAAAATGGAGAATGCACAGACAAAAATGAATCTACTTCTTGCTTCTGAGCCACTAGTTCGTGTAGCAATCACCATGAAAGAATGCGTAGTTTTTATATATGCTCACACACAACACAATAGAAGGAGATGAAAAGACATGCTTAATTAGCCTTGCATGTGTCAGGTTCAGAGCTACAAAGTATACCATGGTTGGTATATGTGGGTTGCCACCAGCTAACTGATTCGAAGATAGAACCAAGGTGCTCACAGCACTGCCTCCGTCAATGTGAACATGCAAAGAAAGTCAGAGAGCAGTCCAATTGCTTTGCCAAAAATAAAATAAGTATGCAGGGTAGCATCACATCAAAATACATGTTCTCTTAACATATATTGAATGTCTTTAAGCATCTTCCTTGTATTCCTCATTTTGCCCTACATCTTTACACTTTCTCTTCTCAAATTTTTCCTTCATTAGAAAATAACTTGTCGGGCGCCGTATATAGGTAGTTGAAAATAACTTGTAGGGCGCTGTGTATAGATAGTTGAAATAAATGACTAATAATAACATGTCTAACCAAAATACCATATTAACACATCATAGTTTGCCTGATATTTGAATATACAAAATCAATCTTCCGGAATGTTTTTATCTGGTTCCTGAGTCCTGACTTCTTACAGAAAACCCACCAACCTAATCCTAAGCCAGCCTCTTGGACCTGGTTGAAATTTTGAAGTTACTTCGTGAGCACACTGGGGTAGCATTTTCTGAATTTTTGTCTTACGGAAGTGCTTGAACTTTGGTTATTGTACTTTGCTTCCATCGCTTGAACCTAATCATAAGCCAGATCTATTTCTTTTTCACGCACAGGCTGTATTGTTCTATTAAATGGACATACTATGAATTAATATATGCTATTTGTAGAGTTGATTCTGATATGAAACAGGCAGGGATTTGCAGCGAATATCTGGGAACAGTTCATCCAAGGTTGGATACCTGAGCGCAAAGGAGGTGATTTTCTTTCTTCATTTTATGTCTTGTGCTATTTATATATTAATAAAATGTCTTTTGTCAACGTTAATATAGGAAATTGACTTTGAATTATTTTTGGAAAGATATCAATTGGTAGCCTGATAACAACCCGACATTGATGACCGAAGGGAGATCAACAAAAATAAATACCCTTTTGGCTGGCTCATTATCCATCAAATCAAATCCAGTTCATTCATGGTTGGCAAGTATGATGGTCCAAATGATGATCCTACATGTATTTCAATAGATGAGATTTTGTCCCATCGGCTCTAAGAAGGAAGTATGACCACTTTACCATTAGTTGAATGAAAGTTCTAGAAACCAAACAGAGTTGAGCCTAAAAGGCTTTTCATATATTTTCCTGTTGATTATAAAACACAAAGCAAGGCTATTTATACAAAAGAAGGAGAATCCTTTCAACTAAAGAAAGGATAAGGAGAATCAAAAGTAAATGATCTTCCAATCAGTGCCTTTTAGAGTATCTACAATTCTACTGCATTGTACACATCATGTTACAAAATGATAAAACTAAAGTCATTGCATCTATTGATGAAAGCGTTGACAGCTTTCACTCACTCTTTTTTCTTCTTTTTGTTGGGGGAGGGGGAAGTAATGGAAGATCGACATTAGTGTTTCCAGCTATTAACATCTAAAATTTTGTATTGGAGAAAACAGAGTGATACGTTCTATAGGGAAGCATTTTGATGAATCTTGTTTCTTCTCTTCCTGAGATGCTTGTTCGCAGTAGAAAGAATATCATAAAGAATATATATATATATATATATATATATATATAGTATATAAGTAGAGGTAGGTTCATATGAGAATGGTACCTATTTAAGAAAATAAGAGAATGGCCAAATTACGTACAAAATCACATGTGATATTACATTAACGGCCAAAAAAGTGTGCGGGCGACCCTATGGCCACGCGGCAAGGTCGCATGAATCACATGTGATTTTGTATGTGATGTTAGTGTAAAATCACATGTGATTCGGCAAGGTTATACATAGGATACTTGTAATACATATAGTTAATAAAAAGATGAAATTCCTTCTCACATCCCTGAATATGGGAGCAAGGTTCTTTGATGAAATGATTGCAACTGTGTTTGCTTAATTGACACAAACAAGCCATACAAACACTGGGAATATTAAATCCCATCTTCTACTTTGTCATAAAGCTGAAGATGAGTATGGATCGAATTGAGTCACTTAGCAAAAACTCAAGATGCTGTAATGTAAAAAGTTTATTCAACTTGGTTTTGAGTTATGTTATACACCCTCCATACAAAGTGCAATAATTTCCTTTCTGGGCCGTCCTGCATTATTTGTAATGTTTCCTTGTTTGCCAGAAGTTCAATCCTAAGTTGCATACTTGTTCTTTCATATTATTGATGATTTTTTTACGATCAACAAGATTTCTCTATTTTCTCACTACTGAAGGTGGAGTCAGTTGCAATTTTCACCGAACTGAGGGAACCGAGGGAACCGAGGAAGTAACACATTTATGCTCATTTGTAAATGTTACATATCATTCATGTGCAGATGTTATAATATACGGTTGAGGTCTTGTTGAGTTTTTCTAGGTCAACTTTTTTGTTGATCTAGCCTAATCAGCAGTAGGGTCCCTTGAGTAATATAACAAGTACAAATGTTGAGCCATTATCAGCTGCTGTACGGTATGAATAGGATAATTAGCGAGTCAAGTATGGAGTAGTTGACACCTACTTTCTCCTGAAATTGGCCTTCCTTTGGCATTAGATGTGTCTTACTCGTAACAAAAGTATGATTTCAGTGTTCCAGTTTCACTTCCTCGAGGTTAGTAGTTGGAAAAAGGTTGGATGTCAGCTAAGTTAAGCATGTGGAACCTGTCTTTTCTTTCCATCCTGAATTCTGGCTGTTTATGAAATGATGATAGTCGTCAAGTTCTTAATTTACTTCCTTTTTAAAGTATCATTACTGGTGGTTTATTCTGGCTATTTGGTGAAGGGGTGATCTCAATAATGAGCTGATGATAGTTGTCTAGTTTTTCTAACTCACTTCCTTTTCCTAGTCTTCTTACTGAAAGTTTAATGTTGAATGAGAGTATATTTTAGCTTGTTACTGTAGATAAAAGCGCTGGATGGCACTCATCTATTACCATTGGCTTCTCATGATGTTACCATTCCTTCAATGGAAGATGCACTTAAGGTACAGTCATATCCTTCATCATGATTCCAATTTTCCTTCTAAATGTAAGAGAAGAAACTTATAGATAATATATTGCTATCATCGTCTTATGTTGTTTCCCCTTAATTACACAACAAAAATTTATGGTATAGAGTCCAATCTAATATTGTTTAAATTAATATAATGCTGAACAAAGTCCTGCAAGTTGCTCTTTCTCCTCATAAGATTTTGAAGTTGTATGTGGTCTGTTCTTCAGTTGATATCAAGTTCTGTTCAGAAGGTGGTTATTGATGCCAAAGTTGGGCCTCCATCATATGAGAAGGGGCTTGCAAAAGATATACTATCTGTTGTAAGTCTTCTTTTATAATTCAATTTTCCTTTATTCTTACTTCTGATTCTATGCTAACACTAATTACATGCAAAATAGGCTTAGTGATTTTATTATTTATCCTATATTTCCCTGGTCCAAAACAAAAGGACACTTTCACCTTGCAGGAAACCTGATTAAGCTTCAACTCAAGACTCGGTATTAATACGTGAAACTGTGTTGGAGAGAGTTGATTAGATTAAAATTTATAAGGTGTGACATTACATGCTCTAGTATGCCCAACCTGATTTGTTGACCATTCCCTGCTAATCGCACCATTGATGGGGGACATCATAAAGTTCACATCCACATTTGAAAATCGAAGTGATATTATGACGTGTATAACTCACCTATACATGATGGAACATCCATCAAGGTTACACTGAACACACCTCAATAATTGTTTACATAACATGTTTAGGAAAACATTAGAATGGGAACTCAAACAACTTTGTTTGTACATATGCTATGACAATCCTCAAGGACATAACATGTCATCTAGGAACTAAACTTGATGAGGGACAACCCCACCATCTTTTTCTTACCCATGATACTTCCATGATCTTGTACCTCGAGTCTGGATTGAGCTAGAAAGAAAGTGATTGAAAACACTCAACAAATATTCTAGCAACATAAGTCAGGTGGACGAGGGTGGGCCTTAGCCTCTTAATTGCTTAATCCTATCTTACACCCTGCTTTCTTGTCCATTACAAATTTGCAAACATATACTTCATGGGTATGAGGTTTTTTTCTATCTTACAATTGTACCATAATTGCAGGTCACGAGGACACAATGTAAAAACTGCATCGTTTGGGCTAAAAGCGACAATTTAGCGAGGGATGTAATTAAGCAGTCATCAGATGTGATGGTGAGATCCTATGCACCTTATGACTAACTAGCTTCTATGTGTTTCGGATAAAATGTGTTGTTCTGTCCCTCTGGATCCTCATACAGGCAATTTGGAAATCGTAACATAGTTATTTCCTAATCTTCAATATCAGGTGTTATGCATAATCATGTTTTCGAACACTTGGAATTCATATATATATATATATATATATATATATTCAATTTTTGAAATGCTGGATTGATGATCCACATTGTTCACCCTGGGGAATATGCTACTTTCTGTTGCCCTTCCTCATTAAGCTCAAGAATTCGACAGTATTGGGTCCACAACTCTGGTTGCAGTGTCGAAGTCATGAACGGCGAGGATTTTGTCTTGAATTTTAGCAGACTTAGTCGAGAGAGAGGTTGAGGATTGACCGTTTGAGGCATGAGACTGAGAGGGAGCCCAACACAATTAGACGTCTACATTATTAGGTGCACCACTTCATAAGAATAGCTTATTATTAATAATATCCAAAAAAAATATCCTGGGGGATGCTCCATTGATGGGTAAATATCTTGTATTGAAGATTTGGAATTAATCTTAACCTATGAGATCCTTTCATCCTACTCACCAGACAGGGAGTAGGGATGGTAAGTAAAGGCTATGGAGAGACCCTTTACGGAAGGAGAAGCTTGGATTTGCTTTGATCATTATACAATGCATTGGAAGATTGACTCTTATTATTAGTTTAATATTATTAATAGCGTTGGTGACTATTCTTCGGTAAGTGTTATGTAATCGATGTGATTACGTAAAGGATTTGATTAATTGGAAAATACTGAAGGATTACAATGGAGTGAAATGGAGAAGATGACACAAAATCCACGAAGGGATCCCAGGGAAAGAATTCTCTCCTCAACTTAAAGCTAAGATCCTAACAGAATGGTCATTTCTCTATATGCCTTCCATACCCCCCATGCATCCTTATTTTATAACCACAAAGCTAACTAATTAAATTTATGGGCCTTGGTTCGTTTATCATAGACTTTCCAAGTAGTGGGCTTAGAGACATTTGGGTCTAATTGACTGACTTGGTTCGATGTTGCATCACTTGGCTCTCCTTCAAAATTGGTCTTGTCGTCAAGAACTAGAATCTAACTTTGAATGGTTATTGCATCCTCCCACGTTGCCTCTTCCAAAGAACCACCCTGCCACTGAATGATACACTGAAGCATGGTTTCACCTTGACTAACATAAGAACGGGTAGCTTGGATAGCTTCAGGAAATAGTCTATCCTATACATCCGTAGTGAAGTCTCCACTAGAGTACCTTAGACAACTTTTCTTAATTGAGAAATGTGGAAAGCTGGATGAACTTTGGACGATGGGGGGATTTGCAAACGGTAAGCAACCTGACTAATCTTCTCCACAAATTGAATCAGACTTAGAATAATGAGCCACCAGTTTTTTATTGATGCATTGAGCCACTGAGGGTTGTCGGTAAGGGTGTAATTTAACGTAGACTTGCTCGCCAACTGCAAAAGCCACATTACGCCTTTTTTATCTGCTTTTGTCTTCATGAGAGCTTGTGCGCTTGTAACAAGTGAACTTTCAATTGCTTTAAAGCGTCGTCCCTATCCTTTAACTCCTCCTGACCACCCCAACATGGACCTCCTGGATGAATTGTGAACATTAGGATGTTTGCGGCCATACACAAGTTCAAAAGGAGTGATGCCTGTTGAACCATGAAATGAGGAATTATGCCAAAATTCAGCCTATGATTCCCATAACGACCATGAACGGGGCTAATCAACAGCAAAGCAATGCAAATATGCTTCTAAGCATCGATTGATGACCTCTGTTTGCCCATCAAATTCTAGATGGTAGGAGGAACTCATATGCAAATGGGTACCTTGCAAACGAAAAATTTCCTACCAAAAATGACTTGTAAACAGTGGGTCACTATCACTGACAATAGATTTTGGTATACCGTGGAGTTGTATAATCTCACAAACAAAAACATTCGCAATATTTCAAGCCATAGAGGAGTATTTGAGTAGAACAAGATGACTATACTTAGTAGTCGATCCAACACCACTAACAAAGCGTCAAACCCCTTGGATTTGGGCAACCGAAGAATACAATTCATCGACAAGTGTTCCCATATGGCCTCTGGAACGTTCAAAGGTTGCAATAAACCTGCTGGAGTCAATGAGCTCGGTTTACATCGTTGACAAATGTTGCACGCTTGTACAAAATGTTGGACTGTGGAGGTCATGCCCAACCAATAAAGATTTGCAGCAAGACGACGATATGTTCAAAAATAACTAATAACCTGAATGTTGACTTATAATCGTCGTGTGAAATTCTTGCAACAATGCCATAATCCATTTGGAATTATGTGGAATGATTAAATGACTTTTGTGGTACAAGATACCTTTATGAACCGAGTATCCAGGATGGGAGTTAGGAGCCTGTTGGGCAGTGGCTCTAATGAGTTGCTGCATGCGGACATCAAATTTGGCCTCTTTCAATCCTTGAGCACTGTGCACCTAGACTGCCGGTTGATATGTCATGGCTTGCAAATCCCTATCATCATCACGTCTGCACAATGCATTAGCAACTTTATTCTCCCTTCCAGCCTTATAACACATTTCAAAATGGTACTCGAGAAGCTTGGCCACCAATTTTGTTGATCGGGAGTGGTAATACGTTGATGTAAGAGGTGTTTGAGATTCTTATGATCTGTATATACTACAAAAGCCATTCCCAACAAATAGCTCCGCCAATGTTGAACGGCAAGAGCCAAAGCCATAATCTCCCTTTCGTATGCTGACTTGTAGTGGTTCCGATCACTTAGTGCTTTACCGAAAAACGCTATGGGACGTTTCTGTTGCATCAAAACTTCTCCGATTCCCCGATCTGAGACATCATATTCAACTACAAAAGGAATCGAGAAATTTGGTAAAGCGAGCACCGACACAGAAGTAATGGCAGCCTTCAAAAGGTCGAAGAACTGTTGTGTCGATTCATTCCAAAGAAAATTATCCTTTGTCAACTAGGTCAATGGTTTAGCAATAGACCCGTAATTCCGAACAAACTTATTGTAATAACCCTTAAGCCCAAGAAACCACATACTCCTTTTAACCTGTTTTGGGGTTGGTCAATTGATCACAACTTAAACCTGTTTGGGATCCATTGAAACTCCCTTCTCATTGATGATATGGCTTAAGTAGTATATTCTCTACTGGACTCCAAATTTGAACTAGAAAATTGATCGATTTATTTGTTTCTCATCTTCGATTTTCTTCAGTTCAATACGTTGAAGAAATCGATCGTGTTCTTGATCATGTGGGTTTGTTTCTCATCTTCCATTTTGTTTGATTTGTTCTCTATGAAACCCTTGATGGAAATTGATTGGGTTTTAAGAAGGAAAGACCCGCATAAGTGTCGGGGATGGCGTAGTTCATTAGTGCTTTCCCGAGGATGTCTGCTTAAGTTTGGCTCGAAGGAGTCTCACCAAACAAACATGAGCTTCTGGGCTTTGGCTCAAGGCTCCAACTTTCGCCGCTTCGCGCCTCATCTACACTTAGGGAGTTGGGGATGGACCGATTGCCTGAACTACGAGAAGGGAAAAGTACTAACTCTTCGCATTTCAAAATATTTGACCAAACGAACATTTTTTCTTATTTATCACAAACTGATGAGCCAACAGAATTTTAATGTTGCAGACATATCATAGATATGTTGCTCTTATGTTGGGCTGTAAATCAAAATACCATCGAAAAATACCACAACAAACTTGTAAGTAGGGACGAAATATGTCATTTTTGATGGCTTGAAACGTAGCAAGAGCGTTAGTGACCCAAATGGCATTACGAGGTACTCATAAGTCCATGTGTGCGAAAAGCTGCCTTCTCCATGCTTTCCGGCTGCATTCGAATCTGATTATAACCGGATTTCAGGTCTAATTTCGGGAAAAAATGGGTGCCTGTTAATCCATCAATTAGCTCATCCACAACAAGTATTGAGTATTTATCTGGTACCGTAGCTTTACCTAAGGTTCGATAATCAACACACATTTTCCAAATTTGGTCTTTTTTACGAACCAAAATAACGAGATTGGAATAAGCACTGTTACTCGAGCGGATAACCCCTAGGGACAACAGCTCTTGAACTTGTCGTTCAATTTCCGTCCGATGTCCGTGTGGATAATGGTAAGGTTGGACACAAACCGGCCTTGATTTGGCAACAAATTAATAGCATGATCCTTACTTCGAATTGCAGACAAGGACAAAGTCTTTGATCAGTTGTTGCAATTGGTGTGACTGGCGCTCAGATAGTGTAACACCCTACTATTATATTGAGTTAAATTTTTTTGTTTTAAGCCTTGAATATAGGGGTTATGATTTAATTATAGTATGCAAAAAATTCCGGTAGCTGTAACATCCTTAGATCATCATATTATCAATGACAAGTAGCTTACTATGGCAAAGCATGAGAAATCAAAGTTACATGGATGACAAAGCAAGTCTAATAAAGCATGATAAAGCAAGCTGAGTGATGACAAAGGAAAGCTAGAAGCACGATGGGTCAAGATTCTCTTATCCTAAAGTATGAGGTGTTAAAATCTCATAAGAGTGCAATCTTGAAAGCAAGAAGAACAAGTACTTGATGCCTTGTGTTAACTATAATAGAGGAAGAAAGAACCGAGGCCATTAGGTTAATACCAAAATCACTCTCTCTCAATACACTACTAAGCTACTAAGCTTGAAGTAAGAGATCAAACACAAGCTAGGCATAATCAAGGTATGTATGTTATGAGATTTAGTGAGATACATAAATGCTATATAAATGTATTTTGTGCATTATAAAGAATTTGATAAGATGATTTTGCATATTTGCTTTACACGAAATGATGATACGTTTATATAGCCAAGATATATGTATAATGGCATGTTATGATGCGTTTTATACATAAGGCATGAAAGTTTTATGCATGTTATGTATGACCATAAATATCCAACTTACGGGATA